GACCTGTAGATTAAACAAAACACTGACACATTCTTTCCCCTTCTGTCTTAGTTTGCTAGGGCTACCATAGCAAAACACCATAGACTGGGTGGCTTAAACAATAGAAATTTATTTTCTCTGTTCTGGAGTCTAAAAGTGAAAGATCAAGGTGTTGGCAGGTTTGGTTTCTCTTGAGGCTTGTCTCCTTGGCTTGTAACTGGCCACCTCCCATGGTTTTTCTTCTGTGGGTGAGTGCCCCTGATGTCTCTGTGTCTTCAAATTTCCTCTTACAAGGATACCACTTAGATTGAATTAGGGCTCACACTAAGAGCCTCATTTTAATATAATCACCTCCTTAAAAGCCTTATAAGGTTACATTTTTTGGGGGGAGGGGATAGTAATAATTCAGCCCATAACACCAGTCCTAGTTTATTTTTACCTGTAGCCCTTATTTTATTTATTTATTTTTTTTGTCCTTTTTGAGACCGGCCGCACTGTGCTCAGCCAGTGAGCGCTGTGAGCACACTGGTCATCCCTATATAGGATCCGAACCCGCAGCGGGAGCGCTGCTGCACTCCCAGTGCCGCACTCTCCCAAGTGTGCCACGGGCTCGGCCCGTGTAGCCCTTATTTTAAACATAATGTGTTTTAATTATTTAATTGGCCTACTGTCTCACCTTCTGTTTGACTAGAATATAGATTCCATAAGGGAGGGATTTTAATCAGTTTTGTTCTCTATGGTNATATGGCCCTGCATCTGTTGCGAACCCCTCTCTTACATAATCTAACACTCCCTCTTTATTTCATGCCCTATCCAACCTCATCTTCTAATGCTCATCTGTATCAAACCATGGTGGCCTCTACCCTTCTCAAGGCTTTGGAGATTGCTTTTCCCTCTTCCAGAATGCTCCTCTCCCAAATATCCATGTGACTGACTTTTCTCTTCCTCTGGTCTTTGTTCAAATATCATTTTCTCAGTGTGACCTGTAGATTAAACAAAACACTGACACATTCTTTCCCCTTCTGTCTTAGTTTGCTAGGGNGCCCGTGTAGCCCTTATTTTAAACATAATGTGTTTTAATTATTTAATTGGCCTACTGTCTCACCTTTTGTTTGACTAGAATATAGATTCCATAAGGGAGGGATTTTAATCAGTTTTGTTCTCTATGGTGTCTTCAGAACCTCATATAAGTAAAAAATATATAATTTTTAATGTTTTTATTCAGGGCTAGCATATGGGCAACCTTAATTTATTCCTAATAACTCCCTATGTCTTTCAGGATATTCCTTTATTTCTTCATGAATGAAGAAAACCCCAATTGTGTTCCAGAAATTTATGCATTTTTAAGTTATATTTGAGTTTCTTTGCAAAAAGGATTATGGCAGTAAAATATCCAGCTTTTTACCAAGGAAAATAAGAAATGTGATATGCTTGTTTCCAAAGCAACAAAAAGCTTTACCTGATTAAGTGGACTGAGGGCTCTTCCATGTTACATTGGAGTATTGAACCGAATTACTGAGGACTCCTACACACAGAAAAAATTCTTAGAGCCATCATCACAAAGAAATTTGCCTACTGAATTATAAGCTAATTTGCACCCATTTTTTTTTTTTCCTTAGGTGGTTAGGCTCACGATGGACAATGAGCTTTCAAAAAGGAAAAAAATGGAAATCACCAACTATGCTGCCAACTGAATAAGAGTTTCTTTGTAACATGTACTGAGTTGAGAAGATTGTATTCCTGCATTGTATAATCTACCAACAACCTACNACTCCAAGGTCACAAGGAATGTTATGTTACCATATGGAAACTTATTTATATTTAACTTGAACATTTAGATCTACTAACCACCTAGCATTGACTTTGGAGTGTGAAGTGAAGTAAAGATTATTTTTTTAAATATATATATATAGCTATTCAGTTGACCTAAATCCTTGAAAAAAAGTCTCTTTCCCAACACAGAATGTGGAAAAATACCTTGTTGAGTCGAACTATCCTGAGCATGGCTATACTTTTAATATAAATGTTGCCTACCCACTAAAGGCCAGTAGCACTGCTCAATCATAGTAATGTCAAAATGTCCTCAGTTTTTCAGAATATCCCCTGGGTGCACAATATGGCCCTGCATCTGTTGCGAACCCCTCTCTTACATAATCTAACACTCCCTCTTTATTT